GCACAGGAGTGATTTTTTTGTGTGATTGTTTTGCATGATCTTCCCGGTATTTCTTGAGTTTTGTCAAATTGCTCGTCCCACAACACCTGGTTTCACCCCCTTACGCTCAACATCTCCCTCCCTAAAAGTACAACTCTTTCTCCAAAGCCCAGGAGCTACCTTTTGAGGACAGAAATGCTTTTTCTTATGCTGGTGTTTCTGTTCTGCCTGACATCTTCTCTCTTCTTCTCCTTCCTCTGTTATGTTCCAGTGAGTCCACACTCAATTATATACTTCTGTCAGCCTGAACCCCTAATATTTGTGTGTGTGGGCACATATAAGTTGTACATGTATAGCATGCATCAAAAATGGAACATAAAAGGATAAGAAAGAAATCTAGAAAATTGTAGTATTCTCTTCCTGCACCCCAGTGGATTGTCACGCCCAGTACCTCACTTTGGAGACCGCTGCTGTAATAGTGACGACTGTGGTAACAAAAAACACCATTCATTAAACATTTAATTAGTACCTGCCTCACATCATTGCATTTTATGAGATCGTCATTTCAGAGATGAAGAAACTGAATCAGAGAGAAGTGACGTAACTCACCCAAAGTTATGAACTAGGAATTTGAAGTGTCAGGATTTGGACTCAGGCCATGACTGCAAAACTTGCATTCTTTTTTACCGTGCCCTCCTGCCTCTCTTGTAAATGTTTAGGTTTATCACAGTAAAAGCTACCATTTGTTGCACTTTTGCTATGTGCCAGGAACTGTGCTGAGGGCTCTTCATCTATCATTTCATTTATTTCTCAGCTTGTAGAGGTATATTTATATGCATTTTACAGATGCAGAAATTGAAAATCAGTTTAGGTAACTTAAATCACATTGGTGGGTGACAGAGCTGTGACTCACAGCCAGATTTGACCTCAAAGCCCATGCCTTTTGCATGACTTGGACAAGACCTTCCCCTCTCCAGCTCTCGGTTCCCCCAACTCTGTATTTGGGCAGCAGCCAACCACCGGTTCTGCCAGCTCTGGTGTCTTCTCTATCCCAGAGTGTTCCTCCTAGTTTCAGTCCTGAGCTCCCAAGGGAAGGAAGGAAACATGATTGCTCGCAGGCTAGAGGACTACGGCAGGGCAGTGACCACAGCAGCTCCAAGCCACCAGGCGACCCTCTACCCTTGAATGGATTTCTGGAATGACTGGCCACAGCAAGCCATCGTGCTAGCCAGGCCAGAAGAGATTCTGGGTGCCTGGGAGGAGAGAGGCTCAGGTCTAGAGTGGCCATACCTACCAGTCTTGAGAAGCTGTCTCAACCAAGATGATGAGACTTGCATACTCGGGGGACGGGCGCTAGAGAGGAAGCCTGTGCCCTGAGGAGAACCCTTCTAGGACTGATATTCTGAGATTTTGCTGTGAAAATCCCTGGTCGAAATCTATAAAAGCCTCTCACACCCGCTCTCGATTTTCCCAAAGGGAGAGTGATCATATCCCCATTTTACAGATGAAGAAACAGGTCCAGAGAGAGAACCCGGCTTGTCTGAGGTTACAGACAGATTGGGAACCGGAATCTGAGACATGCCTGTGGCCTCTTCCTGACATCCCGCTGCAGCCAGGGCCCACGGCTGTGGGGCTTGCTGTACCCGTGGGTGGGAGGCAGAGATGTTCGCTGTGGTCTGAGTCTTGGCAAGTCACTTATCCTCCCTGAGATGCATTTACGCATCTAGAAAATGAGAGGCTTGGAATAGTGGCTCCTTAAGGCCCCCCTGAGATTCTGAAATAGTGGATTTAGAACATTAATTCAGCGAATTTGGAAAGTATGGTCCAGGTTGTTCTGGGAAGAATCAGCCCCTTGTAGAGCTGGAGTACACCAGGGTAGATGGTCCTTCTGTGGTTACTCCAGAGCGTCCCTGAGTCCTCAGAAGAAAGGCTGTTGGAGATTGGCTCCCCGAACTGCTATCTGAACATCTGGTTCTGGAAGAAACTTGCTTTTCATGTACATACAAGACATACACACTCACATGAGACACACATAAATGGCTCTCAGAGCCAAGAGTATTGTCCCAAAGACTTCGAGGCCCTGCCTCTGAGCTGGCTCTCTTTGGAGAGCGGCTCTCGTCCAAATGGGCCCGGCTGCAGCCAGCAGCTGAAGTTTCCATCAACGAGGCCAAAGGAGAGGCTGGAGGTGCAGGTGACAGGCCTCAGCCCTCCCTCCCTGTCTCAGCTGACTTCCTGGGTTTTGTTAGTTCGTTTCATTGCTGCCCTTGAGGCTCCCTCATCCTCTTTCCTGTCTGTCCCCAGGCCCCGGGGAAACCCAGAGCTGGCTCCCAGCCAGGCCCTGGAGTAGATGTGGGCCCCCCTCTGGGTGAGAGGGTGCCACTTCCTGGTGAGAGCTGTACATTTGTACCAAGGGGCCCCTGGTTGTCAGGGAAGTAACAGAGCGGTTGCTATGTAGGCAGATGTGTTTGTCCTCTGCTCTTTACTCTCAGCCCCATCTCATGTCTGCCTGCTGACTGTAGTTTGGGGGACTTGTAATCAGGCAGTGAGTGGGGACCCATGGGCAAACACTACAAAGCCTGTCCTCAGAACTTACGCCTAGTACAGTGAGTGCCACCATTGATCAAGAACAGGTATCTGCCTGGCCTCGTGTGCGCTGGCTTGACAAAAGCTACATCTCATCCTCCAACAACTCTACAAGGTGGTAAAGGGAAAGCCCCAGTTTTGTAACGGAGATGACCTTGAACTCAGAGATGAACAATATGCCCAAGGTCACAAAGCTAATGGGCGACAAAATTGACATGAATCCAGGTCTGTCTGACTCCAAACCCTGTGTCCCCCACTCTGTCACTGTCTCCAGTGACTCCGCAATGAGAGCGGGGTTACGGACTGAAGTCAGGGACTGCTTTCCCCTAAAGGTTGTTCTTGTTGTTGTTG